TTAAGAAGATTGTTCAAAGATTTATATACACAAGTAAATGTAATAACATCAATCATGAATAATAATTAAAATGCATTAAAGTAGTAGCTAATCAAATTTTATATACAAGAACAAAACATATAGAATGAAAATTTATTTCATCAGATAAAAGACATAGCTTAGAGAAATAGAAGTTTTATGTATTTATAGTAAAGAATAATTAGCTGATTTATTGTCCAAGCCAATCAACAAAAAAACAACATAAAAAACTAATAGAAAAGATGGAATCAACTCATCTTTGTTTCTAAAACCTATCTTAGGTACTTCGAGAAGATTGCAATCTACATCTAAAGATAATATATATTATTTGATAAGTCTTTCTATATTTTTCCTACAAACTATCATAAATAAATTGTACTCATATCTAAATCTATATAACAAATGTCTAGGCTATATACTTTTAGCTATCATACATTATTGATAGTTAAGAGTATTGATCTTAATAAACATCAAATTTCTGCAATGATCCATATCATCTATTTTTTTTTTTCCAACTTTTGTTTAAACCTTTTAGTCTTATTAGTTGGAAAGGATTATTGATTCTCAACAACCTCTCTAAAAAATTTCTTTTTATAAAACTAATAGTAGTATATAATGATGGAAGAAATATATTATAAGTAGAATATATACAATGTTTATTAAAGTTAGAATTTGTACTACAAGATGAGTTTTATTCAACTTGAAAATTAGGGTCTTCAAATCATTGCAAAGACTTATATAACAAGTAATATGTACATATGAGTATATAATCACAATACTTTTGTAAAAGAGTAACCAAGAACCAAATACCTAACAAGAATAATTTACGTTGAATTAATGAGAGTAGGAATAAAACAAAAATAAAGAAAATCATCAACAAAATATGACAAAGCAAGAAGGAGACTTACTAGTAGAAGAGACTCAACTTGCCCAAATGCTTGCACAAGAATAAGCGCCATTGCAGCATCGTCTCCACTCTCCAAATGAAAATGAAGAGAAAGAGAGAAATCCTAAACAAAAGGGAGTATTGGCAAAAAAAAAGGCTCTTGTTCCTTTCCTACTAGCCTTAGAACTGCCAATATCCTCTCATATATGGATGAGATTGATAACCATGCACAACAAGACATGGTCAAGGTATTAGATATAATAAGAGTATCATTCAGAGTGAGGGTATCAAAATTTATTGAAAACATCAAAGAGTTATGTTCGAAGTATAGTTCTAACAGAGAAAATTTAGAATCCATGCAAAAAGGCACTTCAAACACATCACCTTTGTGTTGTACATATTGTTTTCTCATATGCAATAACATCAACTCTCTCATGTACCATTGCAAAGAGATTTTTACGAAAATAAGGCAGCACCCACATTTAGAATCCAATTTTTTCTACCACATGTCAATCGAATATGTGGAGTTCTGATTGCCAAAAGAATGACAAGGGACGAGTTTGTACTTTCTTCTTCTTCTATGGTACTGTTCTAACCTTGTAAATTAACCAAAAAGAAGTCAAGAGGAACATGCCCTGAAGTGAGGTGGTAAAACTAGATTAGAAATGTACTCTGGTTACAATCATAGACGTGTGGAAAAACTCATTAATTGTAGAAGCTGGCGATGAACCACAGCTGAGTCATACTGTAACTACAACAGCCTTTCCAAAGTCGAGTTTGTTAAAGTGACTGGAGCCTAGCTCACGTGCATCTGTGAGTGCGAGAATTTAATTTTTATCATCCAACATCTACTAGTAGAAATATCTCATACCAAGTTGCTTCAGTTGTAATTGATGGCATATACCATGGCAGCTGTATAAGATCCTTGTTCGTTTCAGACACACATATTTTCAGTTCAGGAGGTGAGTGAAGAGTTTGCTGCTTTAAGCAGGATATGAGTCACTAGATTGTGCAGATGTATGTGCCTGATTCAAAAGAGCACGATTCCTATTCTTCCTCCTCTGCACTTTCACTCTTACTTCTCTTCTTCTTCTTCTGGGGGGACTAATTTCGTTCATACAACTATATGCCGTAATTCATAATTAGTGCACAAATAAGCGAGAGCTTCGGGATTTAAGTGTACAGAATGATGAAAGGTGATGCAGCGTCACTGACAACAAGGGTCGAACATAAGGGTCACAATTGATACTGACTGCTGAGCGTTCCAAACCACACCAATTGCGTCCATACACTCGTAAGAAGCAGTTGTCTGTATCAAGGACAACATTTCATGAGAACACACTGTTGGTGCATTCACTGCAATCGCTATGTTCGATCTCCGTAGATTAGAACTTGAATTGATTCAATTAGACTCAAATATCGTATCAGTAGGATGCTGTGATCTGAAACTATGTGATTGAAACACTGAGAGCTTCCGCGCTGCCTGATTCGAGACTCGCAAGATAAGTTGTATATATAGTTGAGAAAGAGTCAGAACTTTGTGTCGAGGAGAAGCAGCAACAGTGACCACATCCAATAGTCTGAATCACTTGCTTAAAACCTTATAAAGCGTACGCCTGTGCGTGAGTACTCAAATATTACCAGAAATATCCGCCGAACAGGTTCCTGCATTAAAAGCAAAATACCCGAAGTGGTATACACGGAATTAGAAATTTAGCTTAAGCAATGCATCCAGCACAATTGAAACCATTACTCACCGGCAAAGACCAACTTGCAACCAGACCCATGAGCAAACACCTAGACAACCACAGGCAAGGTCCAGCAATCTCTGCAGGGTACACTAAAACTCACTTCCCGAACACTTTTCATCATCGCCTTAACTCCCAAAGTGGAATGCATAGATTCTGTACAACATGGAACATTGTGCACGTTTTCTCCTGACTGATCTTCCAGCTCGTGGAACCGCTGAAACCTGTCGAACTCCTAATACCGAACGCCGCCGCCGCCGCGAGATGGCAATCGCGATCGCGGCTTCCACTGTATCGCGGTATCCAGACAACAGCTGAGCCTTCTCCAATTTTGGCATCTCCATTATGCGTCCAATAGTGAAGGAATTGCCGAATCGCTAAGGAATCGATCACTGAATCATTGTAAATCCTTTTGTTAAAATTATTATTCAACTAAAGTTACTGGTTAAATCACTAAGAACATCAGATTAAAGTACCGTATTGTGCATGATATCTTTAAAATACAACTACATGGAACATGCATGAAACTGTGTCAACCATTATAATATATCATTGAAGAGATTATTCTCCCAGATAATAAGTCTTGGTTGCTTTGTAACTTAATTGCTGCAAAATTTTCTTGTTCGTTGATAGATTGAAAAATAAATGCATTGGATGGAATCTACTTCAATAACCCTAACCATTATGAAAAGCCAAAGAAAACCTTTACCTTTATATTCATAAACGTAGTAGTAAATTTGAAGTATGGACGAATGCAGTGATGACGGAATTTACTAATATAAGAAAAACATGACTTCGGTGAGGCCATCCATAAATTCTCAAATGTACGAAAAAACCAATTGAACAGTAATTGAAAAATGAGCGTCACACACACATCGTTATTCCCAAGGCTCATAAAATTTTGTCCTCACACGTAGATTATGCATTGCTAGCTTTGAATCCTGAATCTGGAATCCGCCGAGCCTGTGCGTAGAATCTCCCCACAGCCAATCAAAACATCCTTTTTTTCACAAGTTGATTATACATTCTACATGCATCTATTCCGTTGCCCCAAATTGAGTGAAATTGCCCCATCCACCTGTTCTACAAGCATTGGTGGTGACCCATCAAGCCAGATTCCAGCTAAGCAGTTTAGGGCATTTCTTTGCTTTCTGTTTTGCTGAGTCAGTCACAAGGTTGTTGCTAAGCTGTCATTTTTCTTTCTGTAGAGATCAAACACACACATGCTTTTTCACTGTTACGACATCCAAACCACCTGCACTCAGGCAAAGAGTTTAGTGCTAGATGATAAGTTGTATTGATTGAAATACTTATTATGAACTTATTGTTTTTTTAGTTATGGAAAGTGTGTTTTTTTTTTCGTGCAGATGCATACCAAAATTCTTAACGCCTTCTCTCTCTTCCCATTCGCTATATTGGTTTCTGAAAATGCTACCCTTCGTGGTCTTAAGACTGCAGGGGCAAATCCCGGCTAAGACGTGCTGGAGTGCAGTAAAATCGAGGTGGTGCAGGCGGACGATCTGACTGGGGAGCCACTGAGCTGCCTTGCATTTTAATTAGAGAGCTTCAAATACCTCCAGAACGCAGAAACCGAGTTTCTTGACGTAGACCGTAAACGGCCAGGTCCGTTGTTCTGATGCTGTAGCATGACCATCATCCCATCCTTGTATAGCATTGAATCAACTTTCATACATGGCTCACCTGTACTAAACTAACAACATCAAATTAACATGTAATTTCCAATGAAGCCCACCGGATTTCGATAGGAGGTTTACAGCCTCTTCTAGGCGGCTGTAGTAGTTGAGGTGGGAGTTGTGCGGCCTTGTTAAGCTATTGTAGCGGTAGGAAAGGCGGCTTTTTTTTAGCACTCTCCAGATGAGCTTGGAGATTTTTGAGTTTCAGAAACACTAGGTGTTGCAGAATATGCTTGAACGCAGACAGGATACGTAATAAACTGAAGAAAGATAAGATACGTGACAAACTTGCGTTCAGTTACTTAGCTTTATTGGCATCTGTATCCTCTTCCCTAGTAAACACAACCAATTCTTGAGTTATTCTCTCACAGTTGTGACGTGTTTGGCATGTGAAATGCTGGTAGATTGTTTCCTCAAATGTGATGGAGCGTGTGTAGAAGCCACGTTTGGGCACCAGCCTTTACAAGCAATCCAAAGGCCAAAAACTATTTACGTCATGAAATCTCCTCTGACATGAAACTACAACACATTTTCCATTATCTTGGAAGATACTGAGCAGAAAAAACGTACGTATGATCAAAGTAGGTATATTTGGTAGCCATGTAAAAATACATTCCCGCTTCTAATTCTTTGAACAGACAGAATGGCACTTCATCAGCAGACCGAAACTTCTCAAATTCATATGTGCATGAGTAACTGCAAATGAACCTCATTTTTAAATATCGAAAGTAGTTCAACTATGCCTCAACTAATAGAAATGATACAAACAAATGCACATGGATGTCTTCCACTGTCGAAATACTAAAATCATTCTGAAATCAAGATGAATTCAACCGAAGAGCCGGGGACCATGATGTACATCAAGGCTCATGGTGCACGATGTGCAGTGAATGTGCGTTTCTATAGTTGGATAGATGCCTTCACTTTGAGGAATTGTGCTGATATAAGTTGTAGCACGCCACTTCTTGGCAGACAATGCTTCTCCTTGCATGCTATAAATTAGGAGAACTGGGTATCATGCAAGTGTTGAGATCAGGCGCTGCTACATTGTACATGATGTCGAGCAAGGTGTGTTGTTGAAGGATTTGGTGGGAAGAGGAGTTAAGCCCTTGTGTGCAAATTGTTGCCAATCTGGGGACAAAGATATGCACCGAAGATGACCAAACAATTTCTTGCTTGACGTTTTTGGTCTTTCGAAGGCACATGAAACACGGCATTCATGCAATTTCCAATCTTGTGAAGAGAGGTGTCAATGGACTAGGAGACGAGTCCCTGACTTCGACTTATGAGATCATTTTCGTCAATGAGAATGATGTGGCAGTCCAACATCGGAAGCAGGGGCAGGCTATTGAGCTCTTGGGATTCCAAAAGCATAATGTCTTCAATGTCAGTCAGGTAAGTCGCAAAGCGGTGTTCTCCACTCACACCGTGTGGGACTCTTGGTTGCAGGGGTTGGGGTTCCTTCCGAATGCTCTGTTATTGTTGATGATTCGTCGGAATTGTCTCCGTTAATCGACTCCGCTGGTTCAAGGACCATGGTCACTGTCCCGGCAGAGTGGTCTTCATATTTCTCAGTTTCGCACACAGTTGGTACCTCTACTTCCAAAAAGCCATGCTTTGTTGAAGTGGGAAGTGCGGGCTTCGTAAATGGATTTGACGGAATTTCGATAACTGAAATTTATAGCACATCACGTTCATCAATCTTGTGCAGAACTGTACCATGGATTTACCCACAATACAATAAAGAGCAGGCTGATGATGCAACGATGAGCTGGATAGAAGTTATCTTACGTGTTGAGGAAACTATTGCAAGAGGAGGAAGCTTTGTTTTCTTGAACTCGGAGCCGGACCAAATTTTGTTTGCGTCCGCAGAATCATCAGGAATCTGATCTTGTCGTTTAAGCTGCTCGTGTTGCATATGCTTTTCTTGTTGTTTGGAATTCTCCGTCAAGAATGCTGCCGAGACTTCATCAGCATGTTCCTTTTCATGATTAACAACATCTAGTTCAGCTGGTTCGTTTGGTTCTGCGGGTTCTTGAAAGTCCTCAGATTCTTTGATCCCTTCAAGTTTCTGTTCCTGGTCAGATTGGTACACTTCCTTCTCATAGGTGCTCTCCAGCCAACGCGTTATACCAGCATCCGATTCTTCCTGTGAGGGATATAAAAAAATCATTTTTGATCGTGCTTTAACAAGAAGTCGAGGCTGTATTTTCATTGTGAGCAGGATGCACCATTCGTGGAGGGATTGTTTCCCAACAAGACACACAATGATGAGGGATGAGTGACAGCCCTTCTTTGAACCGCGGTACATTCTTTCTTAATTTCTAAATAGTCTCTCTTAACATTCAGTTGGTCTGCAGATTTAACAGCATCCAGGGGTGATTTCTAAGGGTCGCGTGCGAGGAAATTACACTCTTTGGTGGCATGTTAAAGGCTACAGGTAACACAAGTTCAATTCTCTTACATGCATCCCCTTACCGGTTTTTTGTTTAGAAACTAACATCATGAATTGCATGCGTTCTGAATTTGACTTATAATTCATAACGATTGTAGTATAAGAACACAAGACCAGTCCACGTTCAGGTCGACAATGTGCATCTTTCGTTGAAGGACTTACCAATGACTGGGCTCTGGCCCTAAAACCTTTGTTATAGTACTATCATCCTGCAGTCAACAAAAATTTCACCAAGAGTCTTGGATGGGCTTAACCATGATACTTTGTGACCATTGTCCACTACAAGAGCATAGAGCTGGAAGACGGGGCAACCCTAAATTTCTGGATTGGTTCTACAAATTCCAGCATGTTAGGCTCTGTTACTGGAAAAATCCCGCTAACTGGCGATCAAATTCCACAGGTTCACTTGTGCAGGCTCTTGAGGGATCACGTATTCGTAAACTGACGTAACGAACTCATTCAACTTAATTTCCAATTATGAGCAGTAACTCAACATGCAACTGAAAGACGTGGAAAGATTGGTGTGAAAGTTCACCCCAGGGCTGGTGTTTCTCAGGTCTTGGAGAATTGCTGCCTCGGACAACATATCGAGTGGACAAGTTGAACAATCTTCACAACGCTCTGTGCTCAACGCTTCATCATGGATAAATATGGTTTCAATTCGCTTATGAACATTTTCATTTGTTTTATCCTTTTCCTCCGTTTTGGATGTTTTGGCTTCCTTCTCGCCACTCAAAGCAGCCAATGCTGTTGTGTTGGGTGTATTGTCGTTGACCTCTTCAACCCTCATTTTGAAAGGAAATGCAAAGCTGGGATCTAAATACGACTCATTCTCAACACTAGTGTCTTCATCCGGGGTGTTGATGAATACCGAGGTTGGAGGAGGATTGTTGATTCCGGAAGAAGGGATGTGTAACAAGGATACGTATGTGGAGTCGAGAGCATATGTTTCTAGGATGTTGGGTTTTAAGGCGGCTTTGCTTACAAATTGGAATTTATGACTACGGCCATCAGATCGCATGGGACGGGGTTCTGCAATGTCATCTTTGGATACTCCACATCCCATGACGGTCAAAAGTTTCAGTAGATTCTCAATTGCTCCGCTCCACTGCCTGTAGGTTTGATTCTTGTGGCCAATTTCTTGTGGCAATGCGGTTGTGGCCTTAGCTGCATACAGGCCCGAGCGAAATGAAAGAATCTGTGGAGATGACGATGTTTTGGTGTGCCTCTCGCTTCTTCGGCAGTAGGATATTCTAGGCTTGCAGATCAAGTAGTTAACCTCTTGCTATCCAATTCTGCGAAGCTGTACTTCAATCCTCTTGTCCATGATATAAACGGCGACGGCTCAATTCGGTCTCTGCAATAATTTCAGATTGTGTGCTCGAGTGACGCTTCCCCTATGTACATCATGTTTATGTATCATTGATGAATCTAACTTTCTGCTCAATAATACAAGTAAATTGGTTCGCATCCACAAATCTTCACAGCGGAGAGCTTTTCGGATCCATCCTTGATTGACCCCCCCTCATGCTCCATCAACTGAGTGGCAACGACTGAATAGTCACAAATAGTGAGATGTATTTTACCCTCAACAAACTCTGCCCTCGTTAATAGATTCAATTTTGCAACTACTACAAATACTTTCATGTATTTATTTATATAATTAAAATGTCCAACGAAGAGCTAACCACAAACAATCGATTCTCCTCTGGCAGTGACGATGCAGTCACTGGTTGAGGCAGTTCTGAGTGGGTTGGAGGAGAGCTGGGAATCTTGAGAGGCATGCATGTTGAAACCGCCTCATCTCCATTCCCATTATCAAGTGATCGAATCCTGTACTAGCAGAGCACAGGTTGTTAGACGTTACCTGATGGCAAAGCTTTGTCAGCTGAACGTAGGGTCCCAAAGGGCACTTGTGCCTGAATATGCCCTAATGTGAACCATGTTTCCAAGGACACAACTTATCCACATCTCAAGAGCTGCGGGGAATTTTCAGACCTAACATGAACCTAACTGACTCTAAATGCACGATGTGCAGGAGTTCTGTTCACCCGAACCCTAACGTCCAAACGACATTGGGTATTTTCCTCTTCGGATCCATTGACCGTAAAAGCTTTCTTAACTCCCGGAGGGCGGCATGGTAGGAATGAAGAACCATCTTCGGTAAAGAATCGCCAAACTTTCAACTTTCGACAACTCAGAGCTGCTTCTTCTTCAAACATAAATCCAAACTAACAAATCCAAACTAGTCGTTGCAGACGAGATTGCACTCCACTCCTGTCATTTCTGTGGATGACAAGTCTCGCCTTGACGAACAGTTTCGAAACAGCAGCACAAGAGCCTTGGGTCTGGCTTTTTCCCGCCCTTCAGCCCCCTGCTCTTCCCGAATCGCCCAGCGAATGCTGATGCTTGGACGCTACTATGTTGTCGATTGATAGCGTTGTCATTTTGATCCCCATTGCTATCGAAGTTCTGCTTACCCACTGGATCTATACTCAGCTTTTCTTGACGTCGGTGCCCGTTTGTTGACCAGTTTGTTAGGTTCAATGTTAGGCTTCTTTGTGCAATTGTTTGGAGTTTTAGTAACCTTGTAATTTCGCCTAGTACTTCATACATGTCAGATTTCAATGGTGAGCTATTAGGGAAATGTTGTACAGCTTCGGTATTAGATGTTACGCTGGTAGTTGGGAGAACATTAAATTGCAGGGGATTGTCTACAATTGTCGCCGCCGATCTATTAGCTCTGCTGTGATTTGTGTAGGTTAGCAGTTTTTTTATTCAGAGGCGCACTCAACTTCGGATTCCAGCGCATTGATGATCTAAGATGCATTGAAACTCGGTAAAGTAAGAGTTCTATTGGCAGTGTAGAAAGACGCTATGGCTACAATTTTCTTGGCTATGGCTTGTGCTCCATCAGATCGTATGTCCCTTTGCGCAGTTGATTGTTTCTGGTAAAATCATGCTGTGAAATCGCACGCATTTTTACTTGACCTGCGTATGCTTATTTGTTTGGAGCTAAGCCGGAAGAAATACTAATGGCTAGGAAGGAGGAGATCGATGCCGTCTCTTGCGCGATTATGTGTATGGACACGCTTGCAATGGATTCCATGGACATGAACCCGGAAGAATTTCCCAATACTAATGCTTCTCCGGTGATTCCAACGGGTCCTCCATCAAAAGATCTAACAAATTCAGGTGCGTGGTCTTTGGAGAGATTCATTTAGACTTCGTAGAATTCTTAGCTGATTTTCTCCATATGTCTCTTTGAAAATTCACTCGCCAATTTACAGAAGTTTTTTATGTGGGACAAAAAATTAGATATATCTCAGTGCGTGTGTTTTGATCTAGGGGATCTTAACTCAATTCGAATCGCTCAAATTTCTACATTTTATGTTGCAGACAAGCATGTGATTAGTCTTCACTTGAAACCTAGTGTACCATTGTGTTCTGATACGAACCAATGTCCACCATTTTCCAGATTCCTGTGTTGATGAGAGACCGCAGCGGGGGAAGGAACTTGAGAACTCGGTTGGTAGCGGAGGAGCAGAACAAACATGCTATGATGATGAGGGTCTCATGACAGATCCTGGCACTCCTGACAGCCATGGTTCTCCTGACACTCCTGGATCACCTGAAGAGCTCCACGACCTGATCGAGACCAAAGATATGAATCTGGACATGACCGAAAATGACCTCGACGAAGAAAAGGGCTACGACGAAAACGGTCTGATGACAAACCTTAGCACTCCTGACAACCCTGGCACACCTAGAGACGAATTCTCCGATGATAGCCATGAACTGGATGAGACGAAAGATGCGAACCTAGACATAATCGAAAATGACTTAGGAGAAAGTGGCACTGATGATGACGCCCAGGATACAGATCCTGTCACGCCTCAAGAAGGGCTCCCTCGTTATGGTGATGATCCGGATGAAACCAAAGACATGAACGTGGACGGAGCTGAAAAGAGCTTCGAAATGTTGGATGATGGTCAGGACGAGGGAGAGAAATCTTTTGATGGTGAGAGGTTTGTGCCAGCGTTCCCGATTACCAGAGTGAAGAGAATTATCAAGCTTGATAAGGATGTAAGACTTGTATCCAGTGATGCACTTGCGCTCATAACTCAAGCAACAGCTCTATTTGTGCAAAGTTTAAGTTCGGCTTCATTTAAAGTGATGCTCCAATCTAAACGTAAGACCATCCGTGGCCCAGACGTTATTCTTGCTGCAAAATCAACCAGGTAAAGTTTTAACCCCCAAACTGCTTCTCAGTCAGTATTTCATGTACACTAGAACTATATGGAATTAGGTACCTAGTTTTTTAGAATGTATATGAGATTTTTGCGAATTGCCCCAAGCTAATAGATCTTAGTTTTATTTCGTTAACAATTTGAACAGGCAATTCCGGGAGTGTCTAGAGAATGATCTAGCGACCTTGTTAGAAGAATCTAATCAAGACACAGCAAATGGTGAGGATATCCCAGTTGAGAAGGAACATGGAACTAGTGGAGAACCTACGAGAAAAAGGTCTCAGCAGCCAAAGTCCTCAAAGAAACAACAGCTTGCTCCTCCAGGCAGTAGACCTATCACAATCTTTTTCAAAACGTGATTATTATTTTTAGGTCAGATTCGGTTTTGCTTCTTAGGATGATAAGTCCTAGTCAACCATTGGTGGTAAATCTTAGTGCTCTGAAACTCTCATCTTGGATTTTGATGCTCCTATCTGTGTATACAAACTATGGTCAGTTATTTGAGTGCCTGGTGTTATTTGTCTTGTCGTTGTTGTGGAAGTTGAAGGTTAATTTAATTGGTAGAAAATAGAAAAGTTACACAAAGTACTAGACAACTTAATCAATTAATTTGTAAGCTAATTAATATTAATTAACTAAAATACATTACATGTGAACGAGATTGAGGTTAATTATGATTGGGATATTTTTGGAATTGTTGGATACTTAATAGTAATAGAAACTTATTAGAAAATTTAAATAATTAAATTGTTGTAAATTATAATAGACGCTTGATGAGTGGAGGTGTATTTTACTTCACATTTTGATACATTTGTCGAAAGTGAGGTAGTTCTAATTATTTGGAAGGCAAGTAGTTTTGTTTTGTTGGTTGGTATTTGTGTGTAGGATTACTAAGAAGAATGCAATCTTGAAGTGGCCAAGGAGTTGGATTTTTTAATAAGAGTTCATTTATAAGGGTCATCACTCCTCTTAGTAAATTTTCCTACTAAGGGTATTTTTTTAATAGTAGGAGGATTTAATCATCTTTTCAACAAATTTATTTAAGATTTAATTAATTTTACTAATATAATTTGTGGACTCATTAAAGCCTCAAAATCCTTTCCTTTCTCAATCCCAAAAGATTTATTCAAAATATTTAGTTTGGAATTGATTTGGAAGAGTTGCATGTATTGGAGATTCCTTAATCAGTGCTTGGTTGGTTGGAGATGCAATTAGGTGAGTTCCTTTATAACATGGTATGAATTGATTACAAAGAATTATTTTTGTAATGTAACTTTTGTTGTTAATCATTGTATTAAGTAATTTTCTAATTGTCTTATTGTAAAAAGGCAAGAAAAAAGAAGAACTTGAGCTCTCTGCCATCTCGATACAAAATTCCTTTTCACAACTAAGATTGCTTAGAATTACTTCTATACAATACTATTTTTGTATAATAATCAAAGATGGAAATATATATATATATATATATATATATTACTTAGGGTGATACTTAAGCAAGAAATTCTTCTTTGGTTGTTGTTCCACTTTTTTTCCTTGTCAGGAGGTACTTTAAGTGGGTTGCAAGTAAAAGAGTTAAATCAAAATTTTTGTGGATTGGTAGATAAAATTTCATTAAGTTGAATGATAGGTTAATAGTCATATAAATGCATTGTTTTATTAGATCTATGCAATCCAACCTATCACCAATTATAAAAAATCCTGAAGCTACTATCAAGAAAAATAAACCAAAGATCAAATAGGTAGAAACTCAACAATTAAGTAAACATCCCGCACTTCTAATATTAAAAGATATTTTTGTATTAAATCCATTTGATGTAAATCTAGATGAAAAAATAGGAAGAAAAAAGATTGGAACTTGATTCACCTAATTTATATATAGAGGTAAATCAAGAAAGAGAAGAATCAACACCTCCTTCTCGTACAATGAAATACAAGAGAGAGACTAATTCCAACCCTACACCCATTAATCTCTTAGTTTAATCAAGAAATTTATTGATTGTAATTTCAAAGGATTTATAAGTAGATCATATGCCCCACAACTTCCCTATATTTAAAGAGACTAGGGATGATGATCCATCGACATACATAGAGAGGTTTATGAAACTTCTTACAACATGTTTAATAACCAACTTGAGTTATTACCTTGTGTGGTTTTTAAGCACCTTGAAGGATGGAGCTTACAAACGGTATAGAAACCACTTATTCAAACCTTTAAAAATTAGGATATGGTCATGAGAGCATTTCTAAAAAAATTTAAATTAGAAGTAAGACAAAGTAATGCCTTCACAAGCCTTTCTTCTTTGAGACAAGGAAAAGGAGAAGAAATTACTAAATATATTCGATGATTTGAATTCCTATTAATCCGATTTGTTAGAACTCTTCTCATAGATGATACTCTCATCTATTTTTTTATTTAAAGATTTAATAGTGAAGGAATAATTTGAAAAATCCTTAAAAAAAAGCTAGATAATTTTAAAAAAACCAAAAAAATAGCTCGGATAGTCAAAGACATTGACAAGCAACAAAAATAAATAGAAAAGAAGGAAGATCACACAAACCCTAGTTTCATTTCTATACATGCTCAAAACATAGAAAAATTTCAAAGACATTTGTATAGGATTGTGGAAATCTGATTTCAATCCATAAACCATTGTCCAACACTTTTAGAAGTCAAACCACCTCCCATTCTTTTTGAATTCACATACCTTGAAGATAATAATAGATAGAAGGAAGACTTTAAGAATAGAGTCTTTTAAAGCTAGCAAAGATTTTTAAATAAATTTGTCTAAAAAATAAAGGCAATACAAGTGTAGATGATTATTTTAATTAAGAGTCAAAATCCAAATCAAGCTCCACCTTCCATAGAATCTGATAGACATCCTTTAAGGCTTTGGTGCACTCGGTATACCTAATCAAGGCATATAAGCTAAATTTGTTCAAACTAGTAAAATTACCAAAAAATTAAGAAGGATCGTAATTGTATGTTCCATCTTATAAGAATCAAAGCATGATGAATTCAAATTCCCAATTTCATCCTCAAAAAAATTCTACCCAAAGCTTTAAGAATCAACAATGATAATTACATGAGGTGCACTACTTTTGTAGAAAAAGCCATCCACCGCATAGTTGTTGAATAGAAAATAGAATAGTATATAAAAACTGTAGGAGAAACCATCCTACAAATATATATAGTCAACCTGATAAGGTAGTTCTCTTAAAATTTTTATTAAGAAATTATCAACAACAAGCCCAAGATTATTTAAAGGAGGCAAAAACCTCAAATTTAGATAATAACTTGAGACCTCTTTATCTATTTTATGATTATAATAATAATCATCAAATCCAATATCTTTCCTCAAGTTTAAATACACAAAGAAGATTTATTTTATTAAACAGTGGCTGATTTCAATATAGCTAATAAAATCAAGAACAAATTCAGAAGATGCAAGATATTTAGAAATAGCAACCGAAGAGCAAGGTTTTCAAAAGATTAGAGATGATCCTTCATCTTTTCAAAGAAACTACATTCCTCATGAAGAATTTCTTAGTGAAGATAAAGAACTTCCTAACATGTCGGCCTTAGTAATTATGATAAGATCTAAGTATACTAGTTCTCTTTTTCCTACCTCAATAAAAAATAAAAATAATTCAAAAGAATTACTTCACTTCTTTGATTTAAACAAAGCCTTAAGAGAGGCAATAGACAACATGAAAAAGTTACATTTCTCTCAAATTTTAAATCCAACTTTCCTTAGAAATCCAAAATAGGAAAGAAAAAAATTCATGTAGAGGAATTTTTTTCTACAAAAGAGTAGGAAGGTCCTAGGATTCTTGAACGAGAATGTAGTTCCTCATTTTTCTTAAAAATTAAAGACAAAAATAAATCCTATAATTCATAAAAAAACTTGAATGAAATTAAGGCCAATATAACTATTGCTTAACTATTAGAGGTTTCTCTAATGATGAAAAGGGCTTTTAAATGAATTGACTCAATCTAATATAATTAAACTTATTTTATTAAGTTGTATAGGCCATAGATTATATGATTAGAAGGATGATGAGGAATTCACCTAATGGTTAACAAAATATCTTACTTCAAGTGCAAATGAAGTAATGAATATTAATTTCATAGAAGGTTTTTCTACTTGGCAAAACAATGAAATAGAGATAGATTTAGCTACCTTAGTTGATGACATTAATATTGAAGACATCCTTGGAATGAACTTTGATGGCACTTAAGGTCAATAATTAGTAGACATGATTGAAGAAGTTGACCTTAATCCCTCTTTATAATTTAAACAAACTTCTAATAGTATTATGGCTAAAAATGATGTGGCTATTTATCCATAAATAGAAAATAATTGATATAAAGGATAAAAAGAGTAATTACATATGTACAACCTTAATTATAAATTAATGGATGTATCTTTCGAAAGTGAAGATCTAAAATTCATCAAAGTGAGAATTCAATTGATAGAGGATGAGTTGACAAGTTACAAGTCCTTAATTTTAGAATATAGGGATATATTTGTATGGTTTTATAAGGACCTTAAGAGTATACCTCTGAAAGTAGCCCAATATAGAATTCCTCTCCTTTTCAATTCAATTCTTGTAAGACAAAAAGAAAGAAGAATAAATCCTAATCTATAATTAATTATCAAGGTAGAATTAAAAAAACTTCTCAAAGCTAGGTTTATTTGACTTGTAGAAATTATTAATTGGATTTCATAAATGGTATTAGTTAAAAAGAAGAATAGAAAACTTTGAGTATATATAGACTATAGGAAGCTTAACAAGTATACTAAAAATGATCACTTTTTCTTTTCATTTATAAATACCATCTTAGAAGAGGTAGCTGGGCATAAATTATATATATTTATGGATGGAAATTCATAGATTTCTATAGTTGTAGAAGATCACCATAAAATAGCCTTGATTACACCTTGAGGCACCTTCATTTATGTAGTCATGCCTTTTAGACTTTGCAATGCTCTTGCAGCATTTCAAAGAGCAATATCATATGCTTTCTTAGATCTACTATACAAATCAATAACAATGTTTATTGATGATTTTAGCATCCAATATTCTAAGACGATAGACCATCTACTATTCCAAGACCATCCACCACAATTTTAATGCATCTATTCTAGAGTACAAGAAAAAATGGGAAAATATGACACTTATAAATGACTATTATGTCATTGGGGTCACAGTAATTTCATACTCAGGATATAGAGCCATCTTCACCTTTATCTTCAATGCAGATAAAACCTATTTGATATCAATCACTAATCTTTCGTAATACACATGTCTTCACTTTACCAAGATGTCCTCTAAATCTTTGAAGAAAAAATGATAGTAAATGTTCAAAATGCATGTCTATTATATACTAAGGTATTTTTGCTCAATAGAATATATAATGCAAACATTCATTCATGATCCCACCTTCAGTTATCACAAGGTTATATAAATCTTAGAATTAGCTTGTATTATAGAGCCTAAGA